GTGGATAATTGCGCGACACTAGCAATTTTTTTTCTATGAACGACATTCCTAAACTTTTCGTTATAATGCAATAAAACACATTCTGCAAGTGCAACTTACAGAAAAGTTAATTCATTATTCAAGAGCTAACGCCGTGTTTTCCGTTGGCCTCTTGCTGTTCTCTTTTCTGTGTCATCATTGAAAGATAACCCAGGGTGACAGTGCTAAGGCAAAAGAGAATCCGTATGTACAAAACGATAATGGAAGTACCGCCTAGGGATATTTAACCTGGCTTGCATGTCGGTAAACGTATGGCCCACGTGAAGCGCCCGTAGCAGTTTGCAGAACGTCTCAATTAAAGTACGCGCAATGAGGAAACGAAATTATTCGACCGTCGATGAAATGGACAAACAAGATGTCTGTGTACCATGGGACTGTCAGAAATTCAAAGGGGTTCTGAGATTTTTTATTCGCATGTTTATGCATGAATTACGAAGCAACGAATAGAAGCCTGAAAAAGTAGGTACTCATCAGAACATAATAAAGAACACCATGGATATTTGTATAGGATCACAATTTCACAAACTCTCTTGAAACATCCAAATTTAAATTCAAATTGTTCACGCATTAAAGAAATGTAGCTTAATAAATAGAATAAAAGCGTAATGAAATATTATAAAAGTAAAATATTCTTCTGTTTCATTTCTCTTTTTATTTTATGCTTGCACCCTTATTGTAAAAGGTGTAGATGTAATCTTCGACTAGCGTGTGCTCCATTATGGCGGATAACGCTAACGAAATTGCAATGAAAAGGAAAAGAATTGCTATTTACGAGATCCCAGTCTGAATGATCGGTACGCACCCGCACTTAAATCAGATCAAGATAACGAATCTCTTGCATCTCGGTAGAAACGAATCCATACCCTTCGGCCGACAATAAACTGTATTATCTTGGATCCAGGCCACTCGATACACCCCACGCACATCAAAGGGAAGAACTAGATCGAGTGAGGAGATCGATAACGCAATAATATCGGATACTCCACTTCATGCGTAATTCTACACTCGTTCGAGGATATTTATGGTTGTATTTCTTTGATCTTTTCCTCCACGCGCCGAGAACTATTACATCTACGTTACTCAAGGAAGGTGTCGAATGACAATCTAACTGCAGAAACTTACAGAAAACGTGTAACGAAGGACCAAAATGCACTTAATACTTTATAGAAAAGCATGAACCATCGCCTAAGTAACTTAGGAATATTTCAAAATCCTTCTGTACAAACTATAATGTTACTACCTCTCAAAGTACCGATTACGAAAACTGAGCTTGCGTCAAAATTTCAGAAATGTTAATTACGCATTAAAAATTCTTGTATAATATCAAACTAATACTCGAGTTTTCGTTAACTAAATCATCAGTATACAAGATTATAAATCCAACATATACGTGAGCCCAAAAGTGAAATTGTCGAATTCTTCGTAAACGAACGTTGAACCTATTTTTATAACTTTCGCGTATTAAGTTATTTAAAACACCGTTACGCAATAGTAACGAACTCACCCTTCAGGTAAAATGATCGGAGCCGCCGTTCCGTGCGCCGAAAGGGTGCATCGGGATGAATAGAAACAGAAACAAAGAGAGCGCATTAGAATCTAGTCTGAATCTCGTCTACCACGAATAATCAGATACCTTTCTGTTACAACCAGGTGAGCTTGCTCGAGCGAGTAACGCCTTTTGACGTTAACGCCAGGGCTCTTGTGTGTGCGGTCACCATAAACGCAGTCGGCGTACAATGGCAGATCTTAATCTCCCATCCTAGTTCCTGGTTACCGGGGGCCATTACCATTATGTTTGCACTCCAGCTATCACTCCATTGTCTCAGTTATCTGGCGGAGCATCGGCGAGGTTGCTTTTCGTGGCATTGGATTCGTTAACTCGGCGTGACTGTCGCTATGATTCTTCGAAACGTGTCGCTCATGCTCGACGGTATAATTTGACGATTGCAATGCTCATTCGTGGAAAGATGAAAACACAGAGAACTGAATTTTGAACGATGGTAGACAAATATTTGATAAGAATCGAGCGCAAATTGAAACTGTATTAAACTACTGAGTTAAGAATGAACATTTCTAAATATACTATTTGAGCGTTAACTGCCCTAATCGAGAAACTGTACAAAAAATGTACAACTAAATTGTCAATCTGTGTCAATTAATTCTATTCATTCAAGTTCTTATCACTTCGAGATTTCCTTCACCGAATAATGGTATTTACACTCGTTTCACCTAATTTTCTGAATTTCCTTTTAAATCTATCAGCAGCTACACGTATTAAGGAAGGATTCGGAACCTGTACCGCGCGATACAAGCGCAGAATGCTCCTCTCGCGTGCACGGGGATGGCCGCAGATGTGTGTCGGTCGGCACTGGCCACTTAAAAACGAAGTGAACCGACCCGACCCGCTGGCTCAGAAAGTAGTACAGTTGCCGTTCACAGTAAAATAATATCGAGGAGAGAAAAAAGGCTGCACGCGCCATTGACCTTCTATAAACGTTACATCAGAACGAGGTACTGCGGAGGTAGAGGGTGGCAAGTCTGTCGGGACCAGTGTACACAAATAAACAGACAGAGAGGAATTATTTTCTAAGGGGGTGCGTCAACGTGTTGTCATTATTTTTTTGCTCCTCTGAATGTTGTACCGTGCATCGACAAAGGACTGATCTGTACATTTATTTCAATTGACAGAACACGAATTTTTTAAAAAGTATAAAACAAATTTGTTCGTTGTAGTAGTATCTAAACTTTAGAGTATGTTTCTGTTATAAATAGTAATGATTTTAAGGAAATGGAAGCTGATTTTGTATAGACGGAAATTTTAATGCAAGGCAATGCAATGCAATGCAATTAATGCGTTTAAGGAATACATTTGATATCATTGGGTTTCTTATTGCAGACGAGCTATTAATTCTCTGTTTATGAGAGTTAACTGGAATCATGAAGAGGGTAACAAGTATCGTACGCGAATCCCAATCCTACCAAAGACTCCGTTGATTCCTTTTCTATTAATAAAAGGGATAACGTTCAGATTATTTAGCTCATACATTGAGCGCGGACATTGGGTTTCTAAAGAGATAATGATCGCTCCTAGGAGGGAAACCTACGAACATAATACGCGAAGATTCCCTTGGGACAAAGAAGGACGTATTCCTCGGCAACCGCGCGAACAAAAGAATCTCTCAGCGGGGTATTCCCCAGAAACCAGTGTCTGACAGATCGGCTTGATCGCAACGTATTTCTTCGCAGTAAGTTAATAAAAATTATTTTTATCGTGATTAAAAGCAGACGACAGTGAGCAGGAGACGATAGAGACTTCGATAATTTTAATAATCTTCAATCTAATAGAACAGTTGATACAAAAATTATTTTTTACTTATTTAATCATCATTAATTAACTTTCGATTACTGTTTAATACATTACACTATCAACATTTTAACCGGTGAAGCGTATTGTTTTAGGTAGTTTCAGAATATTCGTATGAATTTAAATAAAAATTTCATATGCAAAGTTTCAGGAAAGGAAGGATTTAAATCCCTCCCACGTACTAAGCTAGCCTTTTAAAATTCTAACGATGTTTCAAGGGAAAAACTGAATCACCAGGATGACAACGCGAACGAGACTGTCAGTGGAACGCTCGGTACCTGTATCCCCTACGTTTGTCACCCCAAAAGTGTCTTTCCAGTCGAACGCCTGGACAAAATGAGGAACCGTTCGCACGTGATAATGCAAATGTCAGTCCATCCCCTTTACGGCGATCACGAACTAGTGAACTGAGAAATGCTAATTACTTTCTAATACTTTTAATTCAATCCCGATCTTAACGCGGATTTTCGGTAGTGTGAAAAGAAAGTTCGTTCATCCCGATCGAAACTTTACATACTGAAAATGTTTACGCCACAAACGTCCCATGTTTTCGAGGGTGCAGCATGTAACAATAGAGAGATTTTCATCGGGGTCCGTTCGTCCACCTTTCTCGTAAAAAAGCTAGAAAAAAGATAGGCGCGAAAATCCACGCGGAGCTTAGCCGACGAAACAGTCGAGCTCGGTTTTCACGAACGTAAAAAAACACGGTGCACTTTCACAATCGTTTCTAGAACAGCTGCAAGCGGTGGGACGCGTTCAATCCACGAGATTGAGGTTAAATTTCCGGAAGACTCGTTTTAATGCACGCTGACAAATGCAAGTGTACGACACGTCGTGGGTTGTCCATACGATACAAAGAAATTCAAATGATGTAACATTTATTGCTTTTAAAAGTTAATGTATACACTCGGTGCATCGATCACCGAATGCGAAGATTAAGAAACTTAGATCTTGCGAAGCTGTTCAGTACACTGCATCTCAACTTTGGGAACAAGTAAAAAATGATAGTTACCTTTTTGCAGTTAAGTAACTGAAGACATTTATCAAGTTTGCTTGATGAACTTATCTTTGTTGTCACATTTTTAAATAGTACGCGTGTAATCGATTATTCTTTATTGAATAATTTTGATGAAGGTTTAATACAAAGCCATATATTTAAATTCCTAATAATTCATGTTCGTATAATGTCAACGGTAAAAGTAACTTTTAAATTTCTAGTAATTCATAAGTTACTTTTACCGTCGACATTTAATACAGAAGAATATTCTTGAAACTTGATTCATTTGTCAAAGCAATGCTTATTTCCAAAACCAACGAATGCTGAGAATATGAGAAACTATAAGAAGAGAGAGTACAGCCAATCTCACCGCTGTGAAAAACAAACCGGCCACCCATCGTTGATCGGTGCTCCATTATCTCCGGGCTGTCACGGCTTTAGAGGATTACACGTCGATTACGAGGCTCAATTTTAAACTGTCCGTTCCCCCTCCCCTTTTTCGAAGCTGGCAACCCTTTGCGGGTTACTCCATGGTTTTACAATCAGTCACCCGTGCTGTGACACGGCCAACGGCCCAACGAAGGGGTTGCCTCTTTCCGAAAAGCGGATTACGTTTCTCATTCGGCGTTCTTTCCCTTTCCTTTCGCACTCCAGATAACACATCGACGTTTCAGGATCGTTTTGAATCGATGATTGATCGATACTTCTTCGTCTTCTTCTTGGGGACCTTTTTTGTGCCACGAATGCCATGAATAGGCATGCTATGAAATTTGTTAGGCACATTTGTTGAATAAAATTTTGTTCACATCAAGGAAGCAGTATTTTCGGTAGCCACTTCTGGAAACTTAAATATAAAAAAATTTAACTACAGAATGTGGAAAATTATAGTTTCTATTTTCGAAGAAGAAGCGAGTACTTTTTTAGTAGAGGGAAAAGGAATTGTAAATAATCAAACGGTTTTTACGCCTTTTCGCAATAGCTCAACATTATTTTTCTTCACCCTCCGCGGCAGTTTTGCACGTCATTGTTTACTACTGGTGGAACCCCTTTCGGGTTTTCGGGGCGTGGTGGATTTTTAAAAGATGCCAGGTGGTTTTTGAGAATAAAATAACCGCAGGAACTTCACGGTTTTATTTGGAAACCTTCATTGGCAGTGACTTTCACCATTGAAACAACCGTTGCTTCAATCATTCCCATTATTTCTTATATAAAACTTCTTCATTGCGATGCACTGAAGTATTGCATTACAAAAAAATCCAATACAATGTCTGAAAATAATGAAAATAAGTATTAGACAAATGAATTCCTCAATACGCTTGAATCATATTTACAAAAATGAATACCAAACACTAACATCACTCACCAGTTTATTCAATGAACCGATAAAACCAGAGAAAGTAGCTAATACTGTATTGACCAAAGCATGTGAAGAAGAGACCCCTTCGGAATTAATGATGTTCTTGTGCACAAGAGCTGAATTTTCTGCAACTTCAGCAATTTCCTTTAGATCATCAAGTGTTACAACATTATTATCTGAGGTACCTAAATCTGCAAAGGAGGTATTTTATATCATTATTTTATATCATTTTGCAACATCGATTCTATGAATGAATCAGAAGAAAGTAAAACTAAAGAGAACAATAACCCGCGGAACCAGTGGCCATCGAAGGTGGAACTTGGACACGGTGAGCCAGACGAACCGAAAATCCAACGTAGCATTAGAAAGTACTTGATGCGTACTCGGTACTTTGAAATTTCGAAGAACCCCTCCAAGCGTAGACTGCCATAGGTGCCCCCAGGTTTTTTTTCAGTATGAATGATGATGTATGGATGTTGGCTGGGCGCTAGGGGCTGGGTAAAGGGTTCCATTGTTGCACACCCCCCTCTAGAACGAACCCCTAGCTCGGCCTTCGCGGGAGAGGCCATCGTGAAATATTGCCGGTGAGCAACAAACTGCATTCTGCAAGCTGTATACTGTTAATTTTATGCCGGATTTTTTCTTTCGACCCACTCCATCGATCCCCGCCACCCCTTTCACTATTTGGACTCGGTGCGCGACAATCGTTACCGCGGGAATTCTGTAAGGGCTAAAAACGCTTACTTTTTTTTGACACGTTCGCTACCAGCGTCGCATATCTGTGACGGCCGTAATCCTATATTTTACATAATGAAAATGAAATTAATCCTATAGATACTGTTCGTAGAAATTATAAACTACGACATTATATTTAGGAACTAAATCTCTCGTTTCAGTTTCATTTTTCTAACATTTTGTTCAGAAGATTTATTGGATCGAAGAAAGTATAATTGAGGATACTGTTACCGAAATAAGCGCTGATAGCGAACGTATTAATCTCATCGTGTGCTCGCAATTTCAATCGCCAATGAGATTTTAAAATACGAATATCGATGGAATATGAACAAAAAGTATTAAGAGTTAATGTATAATATTTAATGTAGTGTCTTAAACGAATGAATTATTTATTGCAATTTTTAAAGAATCGTTTCTAAAATTTATCCAAATACATGAAACCAAATAAAGCTGTTAACTGTAATTAACAGTGAAAGTAATTCGCAAATCTGTAGTTCCAACCATGAAACTGAATTTTTTTAGCTTTAATTAAGTGAAATTCAGAAATGAAGGGGTTAAGCGCGACGCGGAATGAATATTTCACCCTATACAGTTTCTAAGCCCGAGATTTGCAATTGGAGCCTGGAAAAGTGAATCGGTTGGAGAATAGGAGTAGAAAGGAAAGTGAGAACTTCGAGTATCGACCCCCGTTATCGAGGAGAACAATGCGGAACCGCAATTAATAGGGCCTGTAATCGGACGCCCGGCACACGCGTCTCGGCTCGGGATATGCAAATTCGATCGGACACGGTTTTAGAAATTCGCTTCGGCCCTCCTCGTCCGCCAACAATGCGTGACTCTATCGACAATAGGAAATAATAAACCGTGATAAATAGCCGGGCAAATACATACGACAATCGCGGATCTCCTTTCGAACGCGTCGCTCTCTCATCTTTCCTCTCTTGTTCACTCTCTGTCGAGCTCTTTCCTTGGTCGCTTCCAGGTGGACTGATTCATATTCCCGGACAAATACGCTCGGCAAATATCGCGCGGGGGTTGATGGGCTTTCTATGCGCGTATAAGCAAATACCAGCGTTAATTTCCTAGCTCACGTGTCCCCGGCTGATTTTTCAACGGCGCGTCGGGGAAAATTGTGGACGTTGGACAAACTTCTACGCTCCAGATATTATTTTGAGCATTCCGTGTTTGAACATTAATATTCGGAGATATTTTAGTTTCTCACATTGCTCGATTACTTTCCGGGCGTTTCGTAATAATCTAGTTATACAATAGAAATGTTACAAGTTAGAAAAAAGGAACTATTTTGAACGCTAACAATTATTCTTTCTGTGGTCAGATGAATGTTTTGATCTTTTTTAACAATGTAGTTCAGTAATGTACGTTTTATCGCGGTAATTAATCTCTACTCGCTACAAATTTCTATTATATTGTATAATTGGATTCGTGGAGGGATCAGAGCGACAAATGGAAATAAAAACCGTGCCGTGTGGACAATTCTAGAGGCTCGAACCTTGAAGAGGCAGCACTAATCAAAAGTGGTCCGCGGAGACAGATTGAGGGGCGTGCAGAAATAAATCAGCCCTTTGTTTTACGGCTCTAAAACGGCCGTTGGGGATTTAGAACGCGAAGTTATGCCCATTCACTCGAACACCCCAGCTGCAAGACCGAAATGGCACGGTTGCTTATTCAAAAACCACGTAATCGTTGCTGTCTAATTCGTGTTGCACGTATGTATAATGTCTTTGCGTTAAAAACGTGTAATAGATGTGTAAAAGGTACTACAAAATATTTTAAGAACTTTCATCTTACAAACCAAAAATATGCGTAATTAGATTTCGAATTTAAGGACTCAGGTATAGGAACTCATCATAGGATCCGCGTCAATTTTAAACATTATATCATGTTAAAAAATTCGAGATTATAATGATATTGTTTTTTGCGATGAATGCCAAGACGAACGTAATATCACAAAATCGTTTCCACAATTACCTTGAAAAATGATTATAGACAGACACATTTTGTACAAGCAAGCAGGAAGAATGGAAGAGATAATCGTGTAGATAGGTTATCAACTCGTTAATGGAAAAAAGGGTTAAGCCGTGAATTCTAGTAGAATTGATTCGAATAAATGTCTCCATGTCACGTACCGAATCCCCTGTGACTTGTCTGATGAAAGATACGAAATTCTGCGAACTTGTAATATTTTTAAAAATTCTGATAACCCCCCGTCTGTTATCTATACCAACGCTTACTGCTCCGTTAATTACAAAAATTTTTATTAGTGCGTAAAATTCCATCAGCCACACAAAAATTACAATCAAAATCAAAAAACCACTTTTAAATTGAGATAAATCCCCTACTACATTCTCCGATATTAAAAATGCAATTAAACCGTCTCGACAATGTTATATTATCATACACCGCGGTAACTGACCGAGATAGCAACACCTCGACAATTTATTCTTAGTCAAAATCAAGCGACACGTTGCAGTTTCATTCTTAGCCGACGCTCTAAATAAAAGAATACTTGCAATATTTCACAGTGACCAAACGTACTTCAACATCGTAACGTAACTCATCTAAAAAAAGCAATCACCCTTAACACTAAGTTCATCGAGCGGGTCATTTTTACTTATTCCGAACTTCATAAAAGAAATTACAGAAACCATATACATCTCTCTTCCGCTACTTATACTGACTTTTATCCATACATCTCACAGTTTCATTTATAAAATCATTGTATATAATTATGTCGCCCTACAAGTTGTTTTTTCAAGAAAATGTGTGGTTTTGTTCGTAACTCAAATTGACTAGTGCCGGTAGAGATGGATATATAAAAATGCCGGTAAACCTAGTGTTAAACACGTCTAATTGAGTAGAATATCTACTGTTGCCTCGTGGAAAACGTTCTATTAACAGTGCTCATGGAATGCAGTTGCACTATCAGCTTTGCAAATGAAACGAAAGCTGCTTTCGATACCGAGTTTTGAGTACCGGCCGATAAAGTGTCGGTGAACCTAACCGCGACGCCGAAGAATGCCCCGATAATATATTATTATTGCGCGGGCGCGGGTCAATAATCGAGCACGTTGCCTGGCGACGGTGCTCCTGCTCTCGGCACAGCATCCGGAATTTCTTCTTCTGCGGCTACTCCTGCAGCTGGGATGCGCAGAAGTCCAGCAACCTTCGCTACATCCTGATCGGACCGGTTTCATCTCTCCTGGCTTCTGGTAGTTGCACTCCGCCTCCTAGGTGAGTCTTGTCATTGCTCGCTTGCTACATTTTCAATGCAATCTTCCAGTCGCCTCGCCATCGTATGTCTTGGCCTCTTATCAGGTAGACGACCTACGCTCGGATTCAGAGTCCAGAGTCAAAATTCAATGAACTTCTTCTCGCGCGCGTTCGCGTTGACCTGTACACCCGGCTACTAATTCAATTTTCGAAAACGTTGTCAGGCGGTTTTCGTACGCGCGAATTTGATTGTACAGATCTAAATTGTTTGTTGTACCTTTTCTGTCATTGTTACCGATACTTCGTGTACCTTTCACTGTGTACGTTCGTTGAGTATAGTGATCCAATGGTATTCATTCGTTTCTTTTTTTAATATATCGATGTGAGTGCTGTTTGTAACCGTGAATTTGAATCTGGATTCGGCCTTATGTGTTCTAACCCAGTTTCAAATCAAACGACGAAAAAGTGTAGAATATTTATCTGAGTATCGTGAACCGCGAGTGTATTATCGATACGATGTTTCAATGAAATTTTGTTATTCCATTTCTAGGTCTATTTTACAGTCCGCTTTAATGGTTCATTAGTTATGTGGGCGAAGAGTAGAAAGTTAGATAGCTACGGAGCATGTACACTTGAAACTGAGAAGGAATGCGATAAACTGAATGCAGGAGTGCGATGTTCCGTAGAAAGAAGGTTCGAGCAACTTTGTGGATTCCGATTAAACGACGTCTCCACTTTTGAAAAGCTGACTAGTTTCTTGTACCGACCGACCGATGCTGCCTGTTTAGGAGTCGTCCGAGCGCTTTTCGGTAAGTGATTTCATTCAATATTTCAAATATTCAATTCAGTAAGCATCGAATCTGCAACTCTGAGTTATCAACTAATTATATTATAAACTTTTAAATGATCAATCGTGAAATTATTCATTCACAAACGTTTATAACTGAACAGTATAAAATAACGTAAATAATAATGTTAAATCTTAAAGTTGATTCTGTCAACTCTAGTCACCAAGCTAATAGTATTTAATTATAGTTACTAGTAGTTAAAATACAAAGTATTATTACAGTGTTCTTACAAAATGGTTTCAATAAAAAATTTGCAGGTCTCTGTATGGTATTAGACGTGGTAGAAGAAAGAGGGCTGGCAGACGTGGATATACGATGGGGAGATCCCTTGGAGTGTCATTTCCCATTAATTCACGGAATGAAACCTCCGTCGTTACCTTGGATCATAGCAATATACGCAATAATGTGGATGGGCGCGTTTGGAATAATGCTGGGTTCGCACTTCAGGCTCGCTTGCGCCTGTTTCGTATTCCCTTATTGGTACATCTTCGTGCTGAATAAAAGCTATTGGAACAATCACACGTATCTCTATGGAATCGTCGCGACTCTGCTCTGGGGTACGGAGGCTAACAAGTACTTGTGAGTTTGAAAGGAAATGTCTCGTGTGAATGCGAAAACTGTTTCGTAATCGGAGACGTCAGTCTAGATTTCAAAAGCGATTTCATTAACAATGGAAGAAACGATTCCTCGCAATGAACGTTTCACCTCGAAATTGATTTTAACACATTCTGAAATACACGAAATTAAGATATCGCTGAATTCATATAATTTGATAATCGTCGAATTAATTTATGACTGTTCACAGCGCACTAGACGCGAGTAAAAACAGGACCAAACAAACTACAGTGCCATTGTGGAATTATTTTATATTGAAGTTTCAATTCTTCACGTTGTACTTCATAGCTGGATTGAAGAAATCTGGCGCCGAATGGCTGTCTGGGTTTGCAATGACGAATTTGTCGGCACATTGGGTGTTCAATCCGTTCAGGTAAATATACAGAAACGTTATTTTATCATAATATCAGGATTGACGGTAATTGGGTAATGGACGATAATAGAAACATCGGTCATTTGGGGATAATGAATTTTTCTTATGATCTTCGGACGATTAACTTCTTTTTCAACTTTTACGTATCAAAAAATATCTTTTCAGAATACTTCAGTAATTATTAACTTATTTCAATATTTCAGATTAGTCTTGACTAACGAGCAAATCGATTTCTTTATAGTTCACTGGTTCGGTTTCATCTTTGATTTGATGGTCGGATTTTGTATGTTGCTCAAGAAAACTCGAATCCCCGCCATGATTCTCTGTACGACTTTTCATTTAATGAATTCTAGATTGTTCAGCATAGGTAAAATATCCATCTTATCAAATTCTAAATAATCTTTGTTTTGTTAATTTCTCGTCACACTGTGGACTGATCGTAGAATTTGTTTCCAGGAATGTTCCCATACGTTTGTCTTGCAACAATGCCACTCTTCTGCGACGCTAACTGGCCACGAAAATGCATTGCATACTGCAAAAGAAATTTTTCAATGTTTACACGAAAACAGGTCATCGAAAGCTACGATGAAACGTCGGTAAATGAATTCAAAGATATGCCCGAAGAAGAATCTTTTTATACAGCATCTTCTGAAGGATCAACTGAAAATATCCTCAATTTACAAACAAACTTCACTTCGCGAGATAAAGTCGACTTTGAAAGAGACCACAGATTAATCAGTTCAACTGCGAAGCAAACAGATGCACTTCAAACACTGAAACAAGAAGACAATGGTATCAGGGCTGTTTGCAAGAGTACGAAGCAAGCCAGAGGTGCGACGAAGAGGCAAAAATTTGTTGTATCTCTTTTACTCTTTCACATGGTCTTGCAATTCTTCCTTCCGTACTCTCATTTCATCACAAAGGTATCGTCTGTATCGATGCTTTTGTAAACATACGTAGAGATTAAATCTTTGCGATTCTAATTAATCAAATCTGAAGTGATTCGTACGAATTCGACTCGTTCGTTTAAATTGCTTTTTTTCTTTTTCTTTTCTCAAACTCCTCCATCTCTAAAATATAAGAACAAATATTAAGTAAACACTTCAATGCACCATTCATTATTTTCCTGTAATATAAATATTCATTATCTGCAGGGTTACAATAATTGGGTACCAGGAATGTACGGATATTCGTGGGACATGATGGTACATACTTGGGACGCCATATTGGTCGAAATCAAAATCCACGACAATCTAAGCAACGAAGATCGATACTTGGATCCCAAAGTGTGGGTGCAAACTGATCGATGGGAGAAACATGGCGACATGGCCAGACAATATGCTTTCTGTATAAAGGTAAGTGTTACCTTGGTTAATACATTCTTATTGGAAATTAATGTAAATTTTAAAACTATTTGTAAAAACATTTTAAATATTTAAATACGTCGACTTTTTTTTAATACATAATTTTACTCATATTTACAGGACAACTTAATAGAGCAAGAGAAGCATATGTGGAAGAATAATCATCAATTCAGAAAGACAACGAAATGGTCACGTTTATCGACGAATCTGAGCATCTACATCGATGTGTGGTATTCCTTGAACGGACGATTCCAGCAAAGAATGTTCGATCCTAATGTCGACTTGCTAACGGTTGATTGGCATCCGTTGAAGCCCATTTCGTTTCTAATGCCACTCCTCACACAATATAACTCATATAGGTACGTTGTGTTCTAGTAGCACAATGAAACATTATTATATCGTAACACATATAATCAGTGATGTTATAAATCACATAATACTATTAAACTTATCAGTCGCGTGAATATCTTACAATCGAGATTCTAACATTCATTTTCTTCGATGAATAAGTGTTTCAAAAATTCAAATGTCTTGTATGTAAAAAAAAGTTATTAATAATATCAATTAAATGGTATGTAGGTACAAATTAGAAAAAATTCAGCAATATGTATATACGTGGTCCAACGACACCAACGTTCTTTTCGTCGCTGATTTCCCAGGAATGCACCTGGACAACTACATCGCGAAAAATTTCACGAACGTCAGCCTAACTGTGCTCGAGGGTGAAGTGGCTTATAGCGATGAGGATTATAAGAAAGGTGTCATTTTATCGAAGGAATCATCGATTCGTGTGAAAACAGAACAATTGCATCGAGTGAAAACGACAAGCGCTTATCCGGCTTGTTACATGTATACTTATAACAAGGAACCATCTGAAACGGACGGGTACTTAAATTATTTATAATTCTTCTTAATATGATGCTAAATTAATTCCTTAAATATCAATTAGTTAACATTTCATTTGTATTGTTTCGTAGATCAATCGATGTAGATTCACGAGAGGCAACGTTTTCAATCACTAAGGAAATTAATTACAAAATCGAAGCCTGGTGGCGATCTCTGAATCACATATTAAACTCATTCTTCTATTTAGTTTACGACGTGCCCATGGTGCGGAGAGTCCACATCAACAAACAATGAAGACTGCCATTTGTACTGCACAAACTGATCTCTGAACACTGTAATTGCTTTTAAACGATAAGTGAAGATTACAGAGAATTCATTTTCGTACACGAAGAAGCAAACTATATTAAGCTCAACGGAAAATTACGTTTCCATGAACACGATAAGCCGAATACATCTGAATGATTCCGAAAATCATTCAACGAAAAAATAATATAAACCAATTATGATTAACAAGATTTATCGACAAACAGTTTTCGATGCACAGTGCATGTAATGCCTGAGTATATTTAAAAAAAGAAGTACAACATTTAATTGTATAACACACTGAGACTGAAGAAAGAAATATCATTACAACTTAGTAATGATTTTTAGTGAACAATATAAATCGTTAATAATATATTGTACTGTATAAAAAGGAATGGTGATTTTAAAGGGTAATTTCATTAAGAACTTTTTAATAAAGAAATCTGTATCATACTTTCCCGTCAACAACCGAAAACCGCGAAGTTATCTCGAGACGTCGAACAGGCAAGGATATGCGATTAAATAACATCACATTAATTTATTCATTTATAAAATCATTAAGATAAATAGCCAACAACTTTCCACATTGCCATATAATAATATGTAGAAATAAATGAAACCTGTATAAGCCGGAAAAATCATTCGAATTGACTCATTCAATTGATTTTTAAGTAATTAATAAATAAAATAGGAAATTGCTAAATAAAAATCATAAACAACATTTTTACTTTGAAACACAGCAACATGGGTAGTAGAAGTAAATTTATAAGAAACTATAAAGTAATCATTTTGACTGCTTCCGTAGCTGCAATATTAATTACACGTCCAAAAACGTTCTAGCTAATCGAAGGTACTTAATTTGATGGTTAAAATTGAAAACAAACCAATGCTTTGTATTCACTGTCCTTCGATAGTCATTCATTTCGCCATTAACGCTTCGTCGGTGAAGATTTTGGCACTTGCAACGTTTAGCAATCCGCCACTCGTTATTTAATATATTTTTAACAAACTTGAGGTTGTAACAGACGCTGAACATGGGTCTTCCGCGGGTTTACACGCTTAATGGGATGCAATTAAACGATTATTCCCCTGAAATTCGCTACAATAGACGGCAGAATAGTTAAGAGAAGCCGATAGCACTCGTATCACGGGCGTTTAAGCCTTTTCGTCTGATAAGTTGAAAGTAAATGCATCCGACGGATCTGATAATTGCCGCAGTGTCGTACGAATCGTCCGAGTAACCTCGCGTACATACGGTTCGCGCCTGAAGAATCACGTTTAGACTGAATTGCGCAACAAACAGCTGCCATCTGCGATCGTTTATAACGCTATATTTGTCACATTTTATCGAACGTGTTATACGGTTAGGCATTGCGTTCGATATTACACAGTGTCTTATCATGCACGAGTAATAATTATCTTTTTTCTACTATCATTATACATTCCGTAGTACAATCGTTTTGACGCGTTTATTAATAACACTGCGATTTTCACACATTACGTGCGGGCCATTTTGTTCATTTCAACGTATATCAGTTTCATCCAATTCATTTATTTATTCTACAACACGTTTTCGAGAGATTACATTACAAATAGAAATACTTCCAATCATGAACAAAAGTAATCAACTATCTACTTTTATCAGAAATTTTAATGAAGTTATACAAATATTTATTTAACATAACTCGACGGTACATGAAAATAGTGCTTTTACGTTTTTCGCATACAATGTGGTAATATCTGCAATTTCTATAGTGATAATGTAGGTAGAACTAATCGGCTTGGATTTATTAACAATATCATTGCACACTGCAGAACTCAGATCAAAAACTAAAGTTTGTAATTTCAAACATTCATTTCCTTTTGCTCAACTTCGATAAGTTTTCGGCTGGTAAATATTACAATTTAGTAGTCCTTAAAAATCGGAATTGTTAAACATACTCGAAAACATACTTTAAGCGATACTAAATTGTTACCAATCATAAAGTATTATTTCCTTAACAAATAAAAATTTCCGTGGAAAACAATTGAATATAGACGAACAGCATAAAATGTTATCTTTCTATTACCTTTTATCAAGCATTTCAATTCACAAACTGTAAATATATTTATCTTTACAACACACGTTAAACTCGACAGTTTCAAGATAAAATAAAACGCGCTACTTTGTTGCTTGCAGGAAACACATGTACTTACATGGAATCAAAGACTTATTGGTGTCATCGGAAGTAACAGTAGAATTGAGTGGAGGGGCAGCGAGTGCGTGAATTAACTATGACTATCATTTCTCGTATGATGACTATTGCTGCAACGCTGGTATAGCCATACCTGATCGAAAATCTGCTTATCTAGACACGTGACAGAGGAATCGGGAGATCGTCAGCCAGTCACTTGGATGAGCTCGCGTTGGTTTTGTCGAAGTCAACGTTGAAAAATGTAACGAAGTGCTGACTGTCGTTACCGACGAAATCGGTATCGCATAGTGAACGTGGGTCGATAAAAAGAATAGTTGAACTACTACACGTTAAAGACCATTCATCGATAAGTGTTGCGGTGCGTTTAACAAATAGGGGACTCGACAAGGCTGCTCGTAACGTGATAGTGAACGCAGAAGAATGTTTTTGAGAAGCAAAAATTATATAAACTGGATCCTCGAACAATAAAATCACAAGTGACCGTTGAGTGAACCGATAAGTGAATATGTAATCGATCTCAGATCTGATATAACAATCGGTTGGTACTTACGCATGTTCTAAGATACCATTTACGAATTGTTTTCACGGTGCTCGAGTTAAGTAAATATGTTGTCTGAAAAAAACGACGCGCGCTAAGGTGTACAGCCATTGAAACGGAAACCGTAATTAAAACAAAGATATAGATGTGCGCCAGATTAGAGCGTATCGGGTTAATTAAAACTTAATCGCTGTAGTTATCACAAAATATTGTTTTATTTGCTAATAACTCCGGCATTGTATTTCACAACAATCGATTAAGTATTTAGTGTTTAATTTAATTATAGATTTAGATAGTATTGTTGGTACAGTTACGATAATAGATTGAACTTTTAAAACGTGTACGGGTTGTGTACATTATACGGTTATCGTTTTGCTTTCTAATTTGAAGAAAGTCAAATATTAATTTGAATTCCAATGTACCGATGAAAATTCATTAATTGATTTCCTTTTAATTTTTAGAAGGCAACATGTCCGAGGGCTCGATGAAGGCAAAGGTCGCGGACCCTCTGTTGGTGGCACTGGACAGACTCGGATGTGGGTCCAATTTTCTATGGATAATATTCATTTTCACGCTCACTCCGACGATATTTAACGGAATGCATTCGATGTCGTACATTTTCATTGCCGAGGTAAGCGGGACGTATCATAATTTCTTAAACAAATATTTGAAAAATAATAATAATGATGAAATATTTTAGATGATGTCACATTTCGAAAGAAAAAATCGTGCTCTCTCCACGTGTCTTTAAAACTTATGAACAACTTGTTCGCGCGTAATACTTTGCAGAAATAATTAACAGATTTCGTAAAATGTAGGTTCCCACTCACTGGTGTAAGGTTCCGAGTCTAATCGCCGCAAATTGGACAGATGAGAGAATAAGGAACATTTCTTCAGCCACTTCGTGCACTATGTACAATTACGATTATGAACATTTTGCACAGATTGGATTCGAGAAAGCTTTAGAATACAAGAACAATAATTCTTTACCAGAAGAGATAGCTTGCGCAGAGAGGAGCTTCGCGCACGACCTTGATGGCACTTCATTTGTCGAAGATGTGAGCAAGATGTTATGCAATTAGTTCGACCATTATTTAAACTGAATTCTTAATTTTGCACAATTGTTTCTACGAACGTATTCTTCTAAAATAGCATATTGCTTAAATATGGCACACAATTTATTAAATAAGATCACGATAAAATATCTTTCGCCTTCGATCATTATTTATGTTTCAATTGAATTTCAGTGGGACTTAGTGTGCGATAAAACAGCAGCTCGCTCGAGCACTCACATGGCCCTGTCGCTCGGTAAATTGTTGGGCAGCGCATTCTTCGGAGTTTTTGCTGATAAATATGGACGTAAAGTCAGTTACGTGATTGGTATAATATTGTTGATAACGTCCGGCCCAGCCGGCGCTATTGTCCCATGGTATTGGGGTTTCATGATCTCACGGCTTTTTAATGGAGCAAGCCACGCTGCGATCCAGTATTCGGCATTTACGACACGTGAGTTATGATCTATGCATGTTCAATGTTGCAACGCCTGTTTCATACATAATCATGTAATACTAATATAGTACTTCCATAATAAATGGTATGCGTGTAGCAATATAAGCACTTAGAGTGCGCAAGATGCGATATGAATTCATAATTCATTATCTCCGTACCGGATTAAATAACAGTACCTTCATTGCATCATGGTGTAACCTGCCTTATTATACTTATTATCGACAAAACGATACTTTAATGTCCCCTCTCTTATTACCGACAAAATACTATTCCGAAAGTTTCCTTTCACATCGTAATTAAGCAAACGTCTGTTCGTACTTGTTGCCCGTGTGCATGTGTATGGCATAGTGAACGGTCGAGCTTGTAATAAATAGTTAATATTCAGGCTATTTCGGAATTCTAGGCAAGGAAGTGGCTGACCAATATAGATTACGGTTCAAAATAGTATGTACCAGAAGATTTTCAACACATGTTTAACATAGCATTCTTTCCGTGGTGTTCAATCAGTTGTTTATACGATTTCATGAAATGACTAAAGTGGACAGTATATATTTATCACTGGTAAAATCCATAGCAACGTGGACATTCAAACATTTTCATTGGTACAGTTACAGAAGTTGCGAACGAGAAACATAGACAGTGGATGGGAATCGCTTATAACATAGGTTATGCCAGTGGAATTGTCATTATACCGGGCGTTGCTTATTTCCTGCACGAATGGAGACACGTGCAATGGGCGATTTCCTTACCAGCCTTATTACTTCTAATACCCTTATGGTGAGCTTCTAAATAACTCAATTGAACGTTTAAATAAATTAAATTTCCTTCCGTTTCGAACTGATTCTAAGACATTATACTCTTATTATTATTCTAAATGATAAATTTGATAAAAATTGAAACCTTTTGTAACTTAGAATGCACTATACCCCAGGCTATTTATATTTAGACTGAATATCGATAATTTGAGTACTATTTCAATAGTAATTTCAAGCTGGACATATTTAGAATGCTACTAATTTTTTCTTCTGGCTGTATCAGAATCGCTGGTATGTCCTATATACAAGGAACAACTGATTTTATCGAAGCTGTATAATAAATTGTGGAATGGAATTTCAGGATCATGCCAGAATCGCCAAGATGGCTGATAGCACACAATCGTCGAAGCGAGGCGAAATATTTGATCGAGAAAGCGTGCAAGAGGTCATCCTCCTCATTGGCAAAAACAGAATCATCTTTATCCATGCATGAACAAGATTTCAAAGATTCGAACGACTCGATTGCAAGTAACCAGGACTCTAATAAGGGACGATTAAGGAAAGACATCAAAGGCTTGCACGTTCTGGTTAGTAACAGTGAGTTGCGCAACAGACTCATGATCACGAATTTCAACTGGATGACTGCCTCACTCTCTTATTACGCACTAGGTAATGAATATTCAATGAATAATAAATACTTCTTAAAACACTTTCATTTTAAACAAGCCTCTCATAAATATTCCAGCATTAAATGTGAATAATTTTTCTGCGGATCGGTATATTTACGTCCTGATTATGGGATTGACTGAAATACCAGCTTATTTAATACCGACGCCAATATTAATGGTTATTGGACGACGACAAGGAAGCGGTTCTTTGTATATCATAGCAGCAATATGCTTATTAAGTATTTTGACAATACCTACGTCGAATACGGGCACGATCATGATCATAGCCCTCATTGGAAGGTTCAGCGCATCAGCTGCTTATGGGATCGTCATTTTGTACAGCTCGGAGCTGTTCCCTACGGTAAACGTGTAAAAATTGTATATTCTTCCCTTGAAATTCATTCTTCAAAATTCGCACAGAATTTGTGTGTTATGAATAAGTTTCGAAGAATTTACTAATATATCTGAAAAATGATTGATTATTTTACATGATTCCGTTACTGTGAAAAATGTTCCTGAGTTTCCAAAGATACATTTCAAAAATTCGTATTTTAAATACTTTCCATTCATTCTCATTCCAAGTAAACGAAAGGAGTCACTAGAATGAATGTATAATTACTCCGTAGATGTTTATGCAAATGTAAATACTTACGAGACAATGTTCAGCAATAAGAATTAACACGTTGACTGTCACGAGAATTTCGAATGTTTTGTGTAACAATACATATTCTTTCATAACAAAGGCAAATGGTATTAGAAATAAATATTAACGACTCGGTATCACAGTACACGTGTTACACTATTATTTAACTGTTTATGTTACTAAGTATTTTTATTCAACATCAGTTTTCTTATTGTAATTGTATTTAAGCAATTTTGAAGCTTCGGTAATTGATGACCACGGTGGCAGTCAACGTGTTAAACAGAAATGAATTCACCGTATTAAATGTTACTACAAGGTGCTAAACGGAATGAGAACATTATGAATTTTGAACAATTGTGTACGCTGTAAATGCAAAGTCCCGTAGTCTATTTACGATAATGGCCTACTTTGACGATTGTTGTCCGGAACAGGTGTGCAGAAATTCCGCGGTCGGGACAAATTCAGCGATGTCGCACGTCGGGAGTATAGCTGCGCCTTATGCAGCCGATTTGTTGGGCGCTGTTGTGTGGTGGGGGCCAACCACTTTGTGCGGCGTTTTCGCCCTAATGGCCGGCCTTCTGTGTCTGATACTGCCGGAAACTCGTGGTAGACCTATGGCGAACACGGTCGACGAAGAAATTAGGAATGACCGAGAAAACGTCTCCTTACGTAACTGCTATAAATGTTCGTGATGTGTTCACCATATTTTATTACTATACTCTAAAATTATTTGTTACAAAACGTAGCATTTATAGTATTCACGTCAATGCATCAACGTTCGTGCCATTTTTGTAAGAACATTTGATAAGACACTATGATGTTTTGTACGTGGAATTTTCAACTGATTTTTGTATACACGGTTATCATTTACATGTGAAATATTTTAAGAAATAAAATTAATCTTCCAATTTGCAATAAAGAGGGGAGAATGTGTCTTTTAATTGGTTTTATGATTCCTTTCTACAGTCCATTTATTCGTATATACAATAATGAATTTTGAACAGTAAACTGGCATTTTATTGATTAATGTCACTTATTATTTGTGACATTATTACCTGATTCTAGTTTATGATAGAAACTTGTGATTAAATTCAAATAAAATATGTTATAATTTCAAGGAACTTCATTTACATAGCAGCAGTACTGGTATGAGTAAATTATTACACTAAAATTATTTCTTGGGCAAAACAATTTTCCAGGTAGTTCCCATTACGTAAAGTGATCAATTATTGTAATTATCTGACCCAACCGACAGAGACAGTAGGTTGATTTTCGCTGAAAATACCCAGATAGTATTAGCCTGAACAATGCACAAGGATAATAATATATACGAGATTACTTCCTCTGATGTAAATCTGGCATAATTACTCTTGCCGTTTTTTTGTTATACATTTGTAACTGAAATAATATATATATATATATATATATATATATATATATATAATAACATGCAGTTACAATAGGATAGTATAAATATACCGTGGAACATAAAGTGTAAAGTTAGTTCAACTTCCGTCGAAAGAGAAGTATTGAAAGTCAGAAACATGAAGTACCTGTCTGCTCTTCTTTGCCTTTTTTTGTGCTACGTAAGATTCGTCTATGAAATTTTCTTTTACTTTAACATAAATACATTATCTTGTTCACTTTAGTTAAATGAACATTTAATTTTGTTAATATTTACTGATTACCAAACGCGTGAAAAATAATAATATTCGTTTCAGCAACTGTCCACACAAATTCCACATCACCATTTTGGTAAACATGGGCCACATAAGGAAATGATAGAATGTTTGGAACGTTCAGAACTAACAATGGGTAAGTAAAGGATATATCTTATTATTAACGTAAATAATAATAATTACGTTCTTTCTGACTAAACAGAGGAATTGGAGGAGTATAGGCGTTCAGATGAGATACAGGCTCAATTATTAAATGGTGAAGGGGACTTCAAGAAGTATGGATGTTTCCTGGCATGTATATTCCAACAACATGGTCTGGTGAGTACGAACTACGACAAATATATTATATCCCTTAGTAATATAAGACAGTTAATATAATTTCGGATACTTTTTTTAAATAATACAACAAGCTTTTGTTATTGACGCGTAACTTACAACAATCAGAACAACAAAACTGCCAGAAATGAGAATATTAAATAAATACAGAAATTAATTAGGAATTTCATTAATTTCTAGATGGAAGGATCCTCTCTAAATGTAACCCTGAAAGAACACCATAAGCATTTCAACCACTCTGGTGAATCCAGTGAAAGAATGGCGCAGTTTTTGAAAAGTCGGGACGATTGCATAGCCACTGGTAAGCATACGTATAATATAATCTTCACAAACATTTTCATTGAAGTTTAATATATGTTATATTTACTCTGGTAAAAAATGATTTAAATGATAAATGTAAATATGAACACAATTATTTCAATATTAAATTAGAATATATTATATTAAGTGGTATGAGAACCAAAAGAATATTCGTACGTTTAACGAGACTGTTTTATGTTTCAGCGGAGGATGCGGGCGACGAGTGCGATGTCGCTTTAGCTTTCGAGGTATGCATGTACAAAAACCTTGACAACGGTAACCATTCGTGAACGAACGTGTACTACGCAAACGATAATTATAGCTCATGCATTATAAACATTCTAATAAATAATTTGTAGACTTAAAAAACGCAAAACTGACCAGTACATCCCCTTTATCCCTGTTCTGCGAGGTATTTTAAATATGATTTAATTATTGAGAGCGATAAAATTAATCAGTAAGAGCATAGATAGGATTGACATGCGTTCCAGTACAAATAGATTGTGTGACGGTGTCCGCCAGATGGTTGCAACTATCCTTTCCCTGGGAAACAGTAACAAGGTGTACATATGTTCACTACAAGAAGAAGAATTTCGGACTCTGCGTCCGAAGCACTGCCAAGGTACTTCGTAATACTTTAAATTTAACTTATAACTAAATATTAGAGTAACACTTTTTCAGTAATTGACTTCCAGGGAATTAGAAAATAACAATATACTTTGTTAGAACTTTTAATCAATTAAAACTGTAACAGCATGCGAAGAAATGTATAATTTTATCAAAAAAGTATCTTAAAAATAGTGTGTTGCTTTAGAAATCAATGAGTCCTTTGTTCTTCTATTAAATCAGTATTATATATCAAGTCACTATTTATATATGCTACTACTCCAAAGTTCCACCATATACGGTTTATTCCAATTGCATTTAATCAACTATATTTAATGTATTAACGAATGCAGTTTCGTTCCATGGCAAAAGCTTCTGGTAGCAGGTTTAGCTCTCGGTGGAACTGGATTATTAATGTTGCCACGCTACGGACCATTCCAATTGGTAAACACTGAAGTAACGAACAACACCTCTGTAAACTCAAATATTAGTACACAGAAGAATCTAATGACAGTACAAACCGTAATTGGTCTGAATTCCGAATCTACATTAGGTGAAACGATGACATCAACTTATTGTCATATTAATGCATGTAGTAGTATAACCTGCTCGTACAACTCTATTAATTTCGATTACGATGCTGGAGAAAGGACGTCGGAATTCTTGGAAACTGTTTTCAAGGTTTGTAATTTCGTTTATTTTTCAAGTCACGTTAATAATAATCACAGGAGCGCAACGTTATGAGTAAATCAAAAAGTCATTCTGAGCTATTCAGTGAAAAGTAAAGTAAAATGCATTAATGTTTACTAAAATGTTTAGTAGATACTTAAATAATAATGCCTAGTATTTTTTTCTGTACATGGTGCAACTCACAGGATATCCAATTTTCAACTGAGAAATATTTTCCGCAGGACAAGTGCAGCAACACTAAATCCATCAAGCTGTCGTTGGACAACTGCATATTCCGGGCGAATGCGCTTCGAAAAAATTGGCTGCGCACCGACCTGTCGATCGAGGAGTTAAACCTAAACAGCTGCGTGCTACGTGAAATAGAAGATGACGCGTTCGCCCTGCCGATTTTCAAAAAAACGAAGAAGATCACCTTGTTAAACAATAAGTTGTTGCAGTCGCTGCACAAAGCCATGTTTCGCCACTTGATCAGCTTAGAGGAACTAGCTATCAGAGGAAACGTCATCGTACAAGCTGAATTCGATTTACTGGAGAACGTAAACAATTCTCTAACTAACCTCGACTTAAGTACCGCGATCAATGATCCTCTGGTGCTTAGAAACATCACTGGGGGCAGTAACCTCCCGAAACTTCTAATACTAGGTCTGCAGGGAAATTCTATACCGACGATCACTAATGAATCCTTTACCGGGGTTACAAAGGTTCAATCCCTCTACCTTCAAAATTCAAACATCAAGACTATATCACAGGGAACCTTCAATCCAATGGATTCTTCTATACGTCAAATAATATTAAGTAATAACGTTATTTCCTCGTTACCAAATGGTCTCTTCAATTCCATTCTTAGGTACCAAAAGCGATTCAGGACAGCATTAGATAATAATCCTTGGAACTGTGAGTGTAGCCTGAAATGGATGCAGGATCTTATCAAGAGCCATCCAAATGTATTGATGAATGTCCCATTGTGCAGAACGCCAGCAGCGAACGCTGAAAAATCATTCGAGACCGCAGAGTTCTGTCAATCCGACTCTACTGCCACGCACATGTCGTTCGTAGAAAGTAGCACAGAACCCACTAAGACATCGACGACAAGTACAGACGCATCTACCGAAATGATTGCAGTGAACTGCAGCATGACCCAATTCCTTCACCGAAAGCTTTTCTATTCCGGAGGTCTACGGAAGCTCCTGGCCACAGATTTAACATTTCCATTCCGTTCACCAGACTTCTTCATCCAATCGAAAACGGACCGGAGTATACGGATCAACTTGCCTAATCACAGCGAAGGGGTCACGCTGCTCTGGTTCGACAGTAATGACGTCAAGGGCTCGGTCAGCTGTGTGAGACGCGTCAGGGACTCTTATCAAGTGCGGAATATCGATCCTGGTACCACGTACACGATCTGTTTGCTCAGCGATAACGAGGACACCGTGTCTCCGCTGAATTGCCTGGCAGCGACAACGAAAGAGGATAAGGTTCTAGTTATCATCATCTTGACATCGATTCTCGCGCTGTGCTTTCTGGCAGGTGTTTTCTTTGCCATTGCGATGGTATGGAAGCATCCGTCACTGTTGCGAGGTAGCAAACGCGTGATAATGGTAAAGAAGAATAAAGCGGACGTCATTGTACTTCCGAAAGGAATGAAAGTTGAGGAACAGAGGCAAACATGTGGAATTAGGTCTCGGGTGAACAGTAAATCGGAGGATGACTATATCACTCCTCTGCCACCAGCGCCTGCTCCTCCTCCTAGAATACCGAGGATCTCTAGAGTGAGCTTGCAAAGCGATTGGCACAGTTACGTTTCCGCGGTAGATCTGCCTGGGAGTCAGTTTGCTTCTTGGAGTCCGACGAGGCAGAACAGTGAACAGGAGAGACAGCGATACGATGCCCCACCGTTGCCGCCGTACCCTTTGAATGAAATCCCTTCGTTGTCCTTGACAGTTGAGGGGAAGGAAGAGGATTTAGAGTACAAGACATTTGCATCTACTACTGTTTAAACTTTAAAGAATCAAGATCTACTTTTTAACGCTAGCTTCACGAATATTTATTGTATAATTGATTCTATTGTTTTTAGAAAAATTGATGTTCATTTACTTAGTCCTTGAAAATTCGAGATTCAAAGGTACGCGATTAGAGTGCATATTCGTTTAATTGTATGAAACAAAACCGACGTAGCCGTTTAGCAAATGATGTTTATGAAATTCGATGTGCGTCACATTGACGCGTTCCGTGAAGCTGGCGTTAAATTGTTTGCTTCTTCCAACGTAATTGTATATACACAATGTGTATGTTACGTAGAGTTGGAAGATTTAATAGTAGACACAGGGACCCAACTACAGATCTGTCGATTCTTTAAAGATTAATAGTCGTTGGTAGCAGGGGTTTGAGGAAATTAAATGGGATAGAAACGGTCCATCAGTAGTATTCGGTAGAATGGACATTGTAGACACCTGTCTGATCGAGAATTATTTATAGCCAACTTCTTCGAATGTTTCATGGTAACGAAGTAACGGTTACAAAATCAACCGACAAAGAACCATGTGTTATACATTTTGCAACGGGGAAAATAAATAATTCTTGTCTCACCGGCCTAAATCTTATTAAACCTGGCCGACATCCCAAAGGTACACACGTGTCAATGTCAGGCTTGAACGATCAAGTGTACGTGGGCAGCCTAGACCCTAGAAGGGGTAAATGAACGGAAATACACCGCCCATATCGATGTTAGAATCGTCAGAATAGTTCCTAACGTCTCATCTGTATTTGACAATAAAACTTATTACTATTTAATTATTTTTATTCTGTATCGACCAAAAGGGTTAACGCGTCCATAACAATAAAAGCAGAGTCATATTTCAGAACTTTTTTCCATGGCAAGAAAGCCCGTTAATAGTTATCGAATAACTTTCTCAACGCTACATATTTATAATGAAATATTTCTGGTACCTACTGTGCAAACACTGTCCCAAGGCAAACACATTTAATATAATTATCTCTCCTACACGTAGTCATCGTGTTTACAAACTTCTCACTTTTCTAAAGAAGAAGCTTTGAGGACGGTACCGTTCGCATAAGTGTATCCTTGAAAAATCTATTCCGCTGATCCGCGCGAGAGAAATTCCTTCGAGATTGCTCCGCGATGCGAGGAAGTTGACTCTATCGATAGGAATGTTGATTATTATCAGCGGTCGTCCCACTGTTACCGTTTTATTTATAATGATTAGGTCAGTAGTTCGGCTCCAACGTCGAAGCTCTATCTGATTGGCTAAGGAGGTCACTCAGCGCGCGGTCTACCGTCCTCAGCGGCGGCTGCCAGGTGAGCTTTTTTACACGTTCAAGCCGCTGGCAATCCACTGCAATTCTCTAAAAGGACGCAATGCCAATATCAAACTACTGTACGTTGGACCCAGCCGCAATCAGTATAACCGTTTTCACGCACGACCGTGTCGCGTGCTAGCTGGGAAATGACCGGCTATACGCGGAGACGCGTCACTGGCTTTCTACGTGCTACTACCAATCGCAGTTCCGGATTCGCGTGAGCTTGACATTGCCGGATGATGTAACCGCGACGTAACGCCGCTCGCCTTTTCCCACTTTGCAGCGGACAGGCTTCCCGATTTGTAAACAACGAGGAACGGAACCACTTCACTTTGATCTATGGATCTTTTGTTTCGACTATTTTACCACGGAATCATTATAGAAATCTTTTAATGCAGTTCTTTTTATATAGGTACAGAGGAAAGGTTATTCTCGAACTAGTGAGATAATTGAATGAAAATGATTCGAAAAAAGTAGGAAAGTAATAGAATATAATTAATATAAATAAATGTAGTCTAAGGGTAGATTTAGTGGATCAATTGATTCGCATTAATGATTTTCTATTTCCTATTTCCATTCTTCTTTAATGCTCATAATACCTTCCCGTCGATATTAGAGTTACGATACCAATTGGAATTATTACAATGAAATCTGTAATATTGACGCGTACTGAGCTATTTCACTATGTAGGTTAATACATCCTCTGTCACTTGTATTGACTCAGAGAAGGTACCGTATCGAATCAGTAATATAGATAGAAATTGGTCCGAGCTATGATTCGGAAACGCACAAGCAGTGGCGTAATAGAAAACATTGGTCGATCGACACATCGAAACAGTATCAGTCAATCAATTGTTGTGCCAATAGAACGTTTCGCAAAGTCTGTACCATGAAAGGGTCCAGATTAAGAATCTTTTTATAGTGCATTCAGAGTCGAAAGATGATTGGCGATTACCTATCGACGCTAATAAGAATGCGGGGTTGCGTCCATGCAGCTCTACTAATTAGTTTACTAAGGCTCAGTGTGACATTTTCATCGGTACAGTAAGTCGTTCGAACGCGATTGCTCCGAAAGGAACCGTTAACCATTTTACTTCTGTGATAACGTGATTAATTCGAACGGAAACTCTCGTTAATACACCGTCATGGTAATTATCGCTCTATAAACCTCATTCAAAGTGCAGAAATGGATTTATTTGCTACGCGTTGAACAACATTTCAATAATTCAAGAACAGAATTCTAATCTGCATATACTGCTTACAAGCAGACAGTTGTCACGTTCAAGTTATACCTCATTCAAATTATAGTAGAATGTAATATATTCCTTCGGCGCTTCTATTAAATAATTTCATATTAAAAATGACCATAATAATTTGTGAGAGGATACTAAGACCGTTTTTTCTTTCTTACACTTTAGGAGGACGTTCAACTGAGCAAGGACCAAATTGCGCGTAAGTATTCAATACACGATTGGAAATTAATTTCCGTCGATAACGATTATCTTGCTGTCGGGAAATTCATTTATATTCCTAATTAACTCCCCGATTATAGAATTGAAAATGGGTTTCGATGCCTTCGACCCGGACAAGAAGGAAGCCATTAACACGGATATGGTCGGTACCATTCTTGGAATGATGGGTATGAAGATCCCATCAGAACAATTAAATGCAGTCATCGCCGAATTCGATCCTTTCGGTATGTACAGCAATGATTCTCTATAATTTCGCAGGAACGAGAAAACACAGCTTTTAAACTGTAATCGTAATTATATGCTAACGATTTCCTGGAAATTAACGCGGCGCGCAACAATCACGGTCGTTTTCATTTCACGCGCTGCCTCAGCTTCGTTCACTATCACGTATTTTTCGTATGTGCCTGACGCGACGCAAAATTGGTCGGTGTGAAACCGGTATATCTTGGATAATGTAATAATTACAACGATAATAAGCGTCTTTATTACGAAACCTAGAAAACCAGAAAGCAAATGCTACAATTATTAAAAAAAGAAAGCGTAAAATAACATGCTCCGGGTGCGTTCTTATTAGATATAAATTTATTGCGTTGTGCAATATCTTGATTAGGATAAAACTTGAATTTCATGATCACTTTACAGTTCTAGTAAATATTTTTTTCGCATTGTCATGATTATACGAGGTCTAGCGTATTTATAGATGAACAAGACGCTTCGTTTTACAAGGAATTGTCCTTCGACCCACAGTTCCCGAATGATTAACAATATAAATCATAGATCGAATATTATAAACCAACAACATAACAGATAAAACTAATATAATAATCTCACAGTTTCAGTAACAATAGGTTCATCGACATTTATTATACAGTTTACCCATATCCCTAGGAAAATTGATGTTCGTTCGTTTAAATCTTGAAAATTTGAAGTTTCAAAATGGACAATTACTACATTTAATCCTATAAATATATTAATCAAAATCGACGCATACATTTACCAAATAATATATATAAAATCCAACATGTGTCGAATGAAAGATGTGTTCCATAAACCCTGCGTTAAATCTCACCACAGTATCAAACGCTTAATCAATAGTTACTAAACGAATAAACTACTAAATCCCCATTAATAAAAACGAACAACATTTTATAGGATCCGGAGAATTGAATTTCCAAGAATTTTGCCAACTGGCGTCCCGGTTCATGGAGGAGGACACGGACACCGAGGCGATGCAGCAGGAGCTGAGAGAAGCTTTCCGGTTGTACGACAAGGAAGGAAACGGTTATATCACCACGGACGTGTTTCGGGACATCCTCCACGAGCTGGACGACGCGCTGTCCCCCGAAGAGCTCGATATGATCATCGAGGAGGTGGACACTGATGGATCTGGCACACTCGATTTCGAAGGTAGGCGTATCGCCTATTGTATCAACGGACTCCGTTTTCGTTGCCGCGCATAGATCAGTCTAGTTACACTAAGAGATGGTTCGCGTTGCAGAATTCATGGAGGTCATGACAGGCTAAATTATCAGCTTGGCAACGAGCAACCGTGGTCCCTCGTGTCGGCCACGTCCACGAGAAACGGACCCGCCGCCTGTTCAACACGTGGCGACTGCAATTTATCGGCGGTGCATGTGCCGTTGGCAAAGTATGAAGTTAAAGGTTCGTAGGTGATGTCTGGTACGGACGGGAACGCGACGTCGCCGGGCCTGTGCTCGTATAGCTGTGAAAGTATTTCTGCCGGTTACCGTCGCTTTTCGAGTCACAATCGGCTAAAATGTATTTCTAACTATGCCGGAATTAACCGGGACGCCGGGTCGCTGGCGTCGCGTCGGGGACGGGTTTATATTGACGAATATAAATCGATGTACCCATGGTGTTGCGCTTCCCCCTATCTGCGAACAGAATTTTTCTCTTCGCACGATTTGGTCGATGAAAATGGATGATAGATTTGAATACGGCGACACGGCTGGTCGTGATCAGATCCGGAAGTTTGATATGGCGACGAATAGTGGATACTTAAGATTGGGATGATCGTGTTTGGAAATTTTGTACTTTGCCTGCGAGATGTACTGTTCTTCGAAAGTGATGATACTCATAAATAACGTACCATTGAACTGTGACTATACTAACGATGTACTAATGAGGGTAATCTGAGATTAAAGGAAAAAAATAATAAAACAGCAAAAAAATAGCATAAGAAATCTGTGTATGTTACTTTCCCCCTGTAATTGATTTTATCATTAATTGGCTTGTATCATTGACGTTGATGCGAAACGTGAGAGAAGGGTTACGTAATTTCATGAGAATTGTGTAACATGAACGGAAGTTGTAGGATAATAAATTGTTTGAATCGTGTGCAAGGTGGTTATATTATTTATTTATGTAAATTTCTTAAAATATAATTGCAATCCAGCGTCGTAAAATAAAAACTCGAAATATTATTAAATTATATGATAAATTAGTGTGGTACTTTTCTTCATATTAGAGAAGATAGTAATTAATACTTAATAAGATTAATTAAGTGCTGGTTGTTTAATGTTTACGGCGAACAGTGCGCTGAAAAAAAGAATAAACCCTCACGAGGCCATATTTTACAAATTACAATCTGATTTCATATATAATTATATGAAGTTCATGTTAATTAAAAAGAAATGTAACACTGAAGGAAAATCAGTGTATTTACTGTTTGTTATCTTAATTGTAACTGCAGGTACCGTAAAAGTTAATAATACGTTGGGAATAAGTGGTAACGAGCAATATGCCGTAATTATAATACCTCCTAAATATAATAGCTGAAGCTAGGCTTTATCTAGCATATAATTAGGTGCCCAATAATATCACGCATACAGTTATTACGCCGAATTGTCTTGAACGTCTGCTGTACGTCCGGTTGAGGGATAGCTGCACCCATTGTCGAGCCATTTTTCATCGCTATATTGATTGTGAATCATCTTGGTGCACCGCGCAAGCTTTTTCAAGTACCTTCGCTTGCGAAACGAAACTGTGCGCCGGCGAATTGTTTCGACAACTACGTGGCAACGTTCTAGGATGCAGTTTACCGTTGATTGTTTTATGAAAAATTGAAAAATAGAAAGAAAAAAGATAGAAGCTCGAAATCAATCACCAGCAGAAATTGGTTAATTCAATTATACTATACCAAAGCTATTGCATATAAAACATGAAAGTTAATATAATTATCCTACTTTCCTAAGGAAAAGAAATAACTAATATAATTGTAGCCTAATTTAAATACTATTACATCTATCAATGTACGAGTCAATTAGATTTACATTATACCTGTCAAGGTAAAAATCAATTCCTTTTTGTGTATATAATATAAATGGAAACATAAAGTAATGCTACAAGTTTCAGATATTTCAAACAATTCAAACGGTCTAATCTTACACGTGTGTTCTGCTAAATTTAACGTATGGTACATACTGATTGCAAAACTATTGAAAGTCAAGTATGCATGGAGCGATAACTGTCCTGAAATTAGTTGTCTCCATTAGAATGGATTCAGGAGAGAGAGAAGAGACGAGGATGCCAACAGGAAGAGTTACAAAATCGAGTACGTTGCCTCGGAATCCACACAATCGAAGCTCCTCTACCGCGGAAACCGGGTGGGGAGTGTCCTCGATGAATTTGAAAACCGCTAGAGATCCTACGTAGACATTACACGGTCAATCACGTGCCAGAATATCATCGTTATGTCCACATAAAACTGAAGTCCACAGCCAGAATCTGGTGCATACCCGGATAAGACGTCGACGCTCTCGTGTGTTAACATTTCGAATTTTCGGTGACCGCCTAACAACCTCATCGCCATGGTGCGTTACTACTTACAACCGGCCTTTAACAGTATTACCAATGATCGCTTTCATTGAATCAAATCTGTGACACTTATTGAGATACGATTCTTTTACTTTGAATCGAGATTGAAGAATTTTAGTTTGAAAATACTTAATATGTAGATCTTGGATTTTAATGAAAATTTGCGTGTTCCCAGCCGGAAATAGTGAAATTGAAAGAAGAATTTCAAAGTTGAGAACAATACAAGAAAGAATTAAAATTATATGAATGCTTCCATTTTATACTTATTGCGAATTTGTAGAGTCCTTTAATATTGAAATTTTATAGATTAATTGGTTATTGATTCTATATTTGTTCCTTATAGGATGATCTGACCAAGGACCAAGTTGCTCGTACGTAATTATGCTCAATTTAGTCTGCGGATGAACGTTATTTTCAGTAATTCGTCTTAACCAACATTGTTCTATTACAGTTCTGAAGAAAGCTTTCGATGCCTTCGACCACGATAAGAAAGGCAGCATCGGTACAGACATGGTGGGAACGATATTGACCATGTTGGGTTACGAACTCAGTGAAAAGACCCTGAAAGAAATCATTCAGGAAGTTGACGAAGACGGTAATAATAATTTCACTCCACCTTAATACACAGTCTTCGTATCTCTACATGCTTCCAAATTATAAACAACTCTATTCAATTGCAAAAGAATCTCAACCACTTTCATTTTACTATTAATTTACATTTCTTACAATCACTTCCTAAACACTCTGAACACTTACAAATATCGAACTTCCGTTACCAAGAAATTAGAACTACGAAACAGCTCTTACAATTTTTCTTTACTTCCTTCCCAAGGAGTACAATAGTACTGTTTAATCAATTGTAATCCGATCGTTCTATATCTCGATTCGTCTAGGATCTGGCCAACTGGAGTTCGAAGAGTTCTGTACTCTGGCTGCTAGATTCTTAGTAGAGGAGGATTCCGAGGCGATGCAACAGGAGTTGCGCGAAGCATTCCGTTTGTACGACAAAGAAGGTAACGGCTACATCACCACCGACGTGTTCCGAGACATTCTTCACGAGCTGGACGACAAACTGACGCCGCAGGAGCTCGACATGATGATCGAAGAAATTGACGCTGACGGCTCCGGAACACTCGACTTCGACGGTAAGTTGCAACCTAGAATTTTCATGACAACCGGATTAAATTAATTACCACGGGGAACGGAACTCCACAAACCGACGACAACTAACGCCAGACCGCGGCGAGTATCGCACCGCGCGAAATTATAGGGAACACGTAACTTTGCCTAGCCAAGAATCTATCAGTTTCTTAATTAATTAACGCTTGTCGCGCTCGGGGTGCGGGAACCAACATCCTCTCGGCTTCCGGCTACGCGCGACGTGCCTCGAAGCGAATATCCATACACGAACCTGAATCTGTCTATTTATAATCAAAATCAATTAGCTACTCCAAACAACGCTGCAATTTAATCTTGGTTTACAGATTCTTGTCGATATTTCGATTCTACGAGCAATGTTTATAAACATACTCCTGCGATTGGAATTCTTTTTTGAGTACATAGTCACTGAAACTTGTTAGACTATCTCTTTGACTATCTTAGATTTCAGTTCTACGTGCGACAATGTTTAGGAATTATTTCATAGGTTGTTATATGTCGGAATATGCTATAAATAAGAGCCACTAAAATAGAAATTCAAGATTTGTCTTAAAGCTCGGGCATTAATTTTCAACTGTGGAATTAATTTCATAAGTGATAATTCTGTGGGATGATATACTGCAACTATTTTTGTTCCTCCTTAGAATGCTTCGACTTTTTCTATTGTAATATTCGGTTTGTTTCAGAATTCATGGAAGTTATGACTGGCGGTGACGACTAAACAAGAAGATAATCCGGGTGGGCAATGGCTACGATTAAGCTCGACAATGTTTCACGCGAGTGTCCTTCGCGTTTTTCCTAATGGCGGAGGATACACAGTCGACGTCGGTTAATTTTCATCAATCGCGTGCACCTTTCACCAAACGGCGAGCGTTTCCGTTCGAATAAACGCGTCGCCGGACAAAAAGCTGTGCTCCAGCAGATAAAAATGAAGTTTAATAAAGACTACCCAACACGAAAGAACGTTTTGCTTGATTGAATCGAGGCTATGCGCGAAACCGCATCGGAAACAAAATTGATTAAGCGAGGTGTTCTCTTCTCTAATCCCGCAATTGCTCGTTTTCGGTGAAAAACCGAGGAAAGTCTGGACAAAGCGCACCACAGATGTGGGTTGTTTGTCGTATCGATCGTGCCCCTGGGCGACTGCAATCAAGCGCACGCCCGTGTAAGCAGCGCAGAGTGTTCACGGAGCAACGTAGAGCAAGCAAAAACGCCGAATACAATTCGAACCGAGCAATCGAATTTTTTTCCGACTCCAGAAATTACAAGACTATACATTTTCAATTTTTTGGTTATCATCAATGTGTACGAAGAACTTTTACACTCGTGACAGAAGTACAAAGAACGTTAGAATTAAATTAACTTGTCGATGATTGAATCGTTGGAAATCACCTGTACTCATCAAATATGAAGTAATCTAACAGAATAAAATTAATTTTGTACGAGAGCCTAGTTTTCATTGAAGTCAATTTTGCACGGTTTTCGCAGTTCCAACTTTCTGATAGACTCATCGTAACGTTAACGGATCGTAAATAGTTAAATGGACCGCTTACATGGAAAATTGAGAACAATAATAAACTCGGCGATAAATAATAATTAAGAATATGTTTTCTGGGCGCGAGTTGAGGTTAACGAATGTCAGCATTCTTGGCAACCACTCATTTACGTCGTGTCTACAGGCGCAAGCTTAATTTTCCGTTCACTTTAACGAAAAGTGCACCTGTATGCTAATCTGATAAATTCCCAGCTCGTGTTCGCGTCATTCCGCGTTCGTGATAACCTATAATTTGATTAAATTCCGATTCTTCTATTATCGTTCGCAATAGAAAGATTTAGTTACTCTTCGCACTATTAAACTTCATTCATTCCATCTCGAATTATACCAGTCGCACAACATTTACTAATCAGTTTCCGATTCTCGCATTTAAAAAGATCACGCTATAATTATCATCCGGATTATAAATCTCCCTTACCTTGGACATTATTTCAAACATCCAAACGCATGAATTCGTCCATCACCGAAGAACAGAAGCATCAACATCCGTCATCACACAATTTTATCGTAGAGTTAATGTGCCGCGCATTCGACACGCAGGCCAAGTTCCTTGATAATTGGTGTGCCAAACGTCTTCATGTCCGCGCCGCTACATTATACCCAATACTCTCGTTACAACAGAAACGAGTGATCGTACACACGGGCCGAGGATGCTCGGATCCAAATGAGTTGGGACTAATTTTAGGCTGACAGCTTCCAAAACACTCATCGACGTGAAACGGGGTTTCAGGATCTCCAGGTCTTCGGGGTGTCTTCGGCTGGGAATTTCCTGTCGCTGATTGACCGTGCAATCACAGTGGCGCGCGGAATTGGTCCGTCAGAAGTCATACCAAATTGGGAGCCTGAAATGTCCAGAGATGCCATTATCCTGGCAGCTCCCACGTTTGCCAGGTAATCAACTCCCGACGAAAATGGCCGGTCGAGGGCCAATAATGCTTGCTCTGTATATCGCGCGGTTGTCCAGTGCTACCGTCTAGCCACCTTTCCATCAGAATTATCATACCGACCAAACCGAGGAAATTTCGAAACGCCACTCGCGTTTATGCCACGGAGACGCGGTGGCCCGTCTTAAATCAGGTTTGTCATGTGAACCGTATTTGGTTTCCATAATCCCCGACTGAACTCTCCGCGGATTAAATCCACCGCGGTCTGCAACGGGCAAATGGGATTCGAACAATTCACAATGATACTTCGGTCAACGTCAGTTGCATGTTACTTTGATCGTTTTTATGAAACCGTGGGAGCGAAAGAGGAGGAAAGAAGGGCAGACAAATGGCAGAAGAATATAGAGAGTCTCATTGTGAACCCGCTATTATTAAGAAGTAACTAGACTGCGAAATTTTATGCATTCGCAATTTTCCATGAGCCGATACACCCGTAACGAAATGAGTTATTGAAATTTTCTCTTTTATGGAGCGTGATAGAGATTTTCGTAGACTGAAGAAATTTTTCACCGACGCTACATTGTGTGAATTATTCAAAGAAAGTGTATGTTACCGTCCGTAAGGTCTCGCGCGGAGAAGGATAGGCACAATTATCGTTTCTACATGTCTGACTTTTCCAAAATTTTTGAAATAATCAAATCCGAATGGAAGTCTGATCGCAAAGCTTTTAATGAAATCGAAACGACTGGCGAGAGAATTTGAAAAGCGATTTGAAAGTAAACGTATATAATAAACTGAGGGAAACGTACGCAACAGATTAGCGGCGGTCTTAAGTTCGCCGTTAAAATCGGAAAGAAGGTACCATTCCTGTAAATAATCGGCCGTAAAATAATTGACAAGTGTAGATTGGATAAACGAAACAAAGAACTATCGCGTAGAATTTTCGCATGAAAATCGCCACTTGCCTCGGCGCCGACGGAACTCGGCGTTAACTCTTTAGTTTACGGCCGTTCCCGTCGGTGAACCCGTTTATCGGATAATTTCGATATCGTGTATACGATCCGTGATATTTTCAACGAAAGAAATGCGCCTTTCACCGGTCAAGCTCGGCCGATCGGCGCGCGCGGACAAGTCTACTCGAATCTACATACATTGTAGAAACCGCGGTTGTATTAGTCGTTGGACCGGTGACATTAATTACAAGGGAGACGTGTGCTTCATTAATATTTCGCGATCGAGATAAGCCGCGGACGCTGTTAAAAGTGTCTCGACCGCAACATGTAGAGTATAAGGAAGGATCTTTATGTATCTTACGGCGAGCACTGAGTGCAAATTATGCGAAGAGCTAAATGAAAATGCCAAAGTACACCAAAACTGCTACATTTCAATTAGATCGCAATTATCCGTTGCGTTTATAGTTCGCGGAAATCGTAAAGAATTAGGCTGTCGGTGCGGTTTAATTGAAAGCGAGCCCACGGTTGGAAGAAGAAACGCTCGATTCTTCCTGTACGGAACCTCTAATTACGTGAATTCTATTAAACGCGCGCTGAATATTCTTAAGATTCCAGTCGAAGTGGATATTTTTCATTTTGATGGAGATTGTTGGAGTTTTCTTTTATTATGACGTTATCGTAAGAAGATGATTTTTAAGGTCAAATATCTCGTGTATAGTCCTGTATCAAAGGTTTTATTGTGATGATAGTAACATATACGACGTTATACTTGGTCAATATTTATTTTACTACCGTTGCAGGTTAAGAGATCCTATAAATATCCGCAGTCTACTGATGAAGTACTTAGATAAATATTACGTGTGCAGTATATTCTATTAAACAGAAAATAGCGCTATGAAATTGTTTTTCTTGAAAAATAGAGTATCATGAAAAGGATCAGTCACACAGGCATTGCTAAAGTGGTTAAGTTTCTAATTTTCTCTGAGATGAATGGTAAATCTCGCTAGAAAATAGAGTGCCAATTAGCGCCGGATAATAAATGAACCGAAAAACATTGGCAACCGCAGATGAGAATATTCGAGTTACCGGCAGGTGAAATTCGAGAATGATAAGATCTTCTTCCTCTTATGCAAAGCTTGGATGTTGAAAGTTTTAAAAAACTTGACTCATTTGGTAAAGATTTACATTCTCCGCCATCTTTCTCTTCTTCCAAAGTTCATTTAATAATGTTTTTTGCAGTTGATTATCCAATATAACCATGCTCGAGACAACCTAGGCTTAATGCGAATTGTCACTTTCTCCGCCATGATTTACTCTAAAAATTCATAGGAAACAGAAATCTTACGATTCTCACGTTTACACGTTCCAAGTATCTACCGATTCAATTTATAGGTTACAGCTGAATGTTACAGGCATAATCTTATTTATATGCAATTAAAAATAATCCTTACACTTGTTAACAACATTAAACACTGAAAATTTTAATAGATATATTTAATTAGAACGTTTAATACATATCAATCGTTAATGTGAATGTGTATCGATAAGTTACGGTAAAATAGTAATAGTTTATATTACGGTAAGGAAATCATTACTACAATGTATTTTATTTATTTTCTTATATTAAATTGATTTTGGAGAAAACGCTTTAGTCAAATACGGTAGGAAGTGAGCCATTTCTATTCAATAGAATTTCAATAAACGTAGATAAATGGATAATGAGACATAAATACTCAAGCCACATATTATTCAGTGAAAGTGATTAAATTATTGGGTGCAACCACAGACGACGATTTTCTTGTTTGTACGTATAAACAGATCGCGCGATACGTTCACCACGCTACATTAACTTCTCTGATGTATCTCTGCGTGCATTAAACTGACGAAATTATAGGTGAACAGGCGAGAAAGTCTTTGGGAGAATAATGTTGCGTTTATGGGAAGACTGAAATCCCCGGACGCAATAATTCCGGTAAAAATCTTAATTACCGCCCAGACGAAGAATACGAGGAAAAAAAGGGGGTATAGAAATCACGAGAGTTATCAGAGGCCTGATCTATTTATCAGATAACCGAAATTCTCAGCCGGTTCGAGTTCGTCTGGCACAGATAAACTATTCTTTCACTCAAGATCCTGCACTCGATAGATCATCGCGAGCATCCACCGCGAGCGGCAGGTTTATACCTGGTATAATTACACGTTCCGTACGGACTGTTACAGACACGCGGCGAATCGTACTCACGATTTCCGGTTCAGGAGATCCTATTCCGCGTTTATTTAGGATAACGTCGTAATTTCCGCTGTCCACCGAATGCTCGACTAATTTATACAAACCTTTCCCTCAGCGGCCATTGGAGATCGGAGGACTACGAACGGTACCTTCGGTCACATTTTACGAACCTCGTCCGGGCTACTGGAAATTATAGAATGTCTCATAGATACAGTCAACCACAAAAGTTCGTATCCGGTAGTTTTCAAATATGTCAAACGAAAGGACACGGATTGTTGAACGTATAACGAGCATTAATTCGATTACTAGTTAAATCTTGACGATTTCTAAGAGGAATAAGAATTCCCCATATCTTTGTTCGAAAATTTAATCACAATTGGATTTGTCAGTTTCTTTTTTAGATTTCGTAGTGAATAACTGTAAGAAAGGTAATCAAGTTTTCCGAATCAATCTAGTTTTAACTGATAAGAATTGGATTATGTATGTATGGCATGAAAAAATGTTGAATTTTGTTTTGAATATAGGAAATTTGAGAGGTGCAGGATGAGATTTTAAGGTCGACTGTACATTAGAATTGTCAATGAGAGAATTACAGTTAGCGGAAATGGCGAACGCGAAGCTAGCTCATACGTATCGCCGCTGCCAATAGGATCGTTAAAAGGGTTTATTTATTCCGTCGTTAATCGACTACCGAAGCGAAATACTTAGACAGGATTAAGCGTCCAATTAATTATAGACGCGTAACCCAGATAAACTTTCTCTATCGATTGCACGCCTAGCTCTGCGGCAGTTGTTTAAGATCGACTAAGCCAGAGGCCGAATA